CAGGACCCCAGGCCAACACCCCCAGACCAGGACCCCAGACCAGGACCCCAGGCCAGGACCCCCAGACCAGGACCCCAGATCAGGACCCCGGGCCAGGACCCCCAGACCAGGACCCCAGACCAGGACCCCAGACCAGGACCCCAGATCAGGACCCCCAGGCCGGCCCTGTCCTTGTCCCACCGCGGCACACAGGGCGGCCTCTTCAGGGCAGCTCACCTCCGGGGCTGCCTCAGGGTCTCCTGCCTTGGACTCAAGTTTCTCCTGAGTCTTGCCTCGGCGGCGGGGGAACCCCAAGTCTCCCGGCCCTCCCACCCCGGTGTGTCCCCCACTGCTGAGGGTGGGAAACGGGGCTGTCTGCTCAGACTGGAGGGTGCTGAGCTTTGGGGGAAGCCTCACCCCAGACAGGACGCAGGGCCTCTCCCAGCCAGGAGGGCAGGTGGTGCTCTGTGCGGAGATCGGCCAGCAGAGCCCGGGCCGGCCCCTCCCTGCACAGACCTGGAGGGGTTCCTGCACAGGAGCCCTTCTGACTCCTCCGAGCCTCTTGTCCGTCCTGGAGCAGAGACCCGGCCGCCCTTCCCGGGAGCTGTTAGAAGGCTGACCCTCCATTCCCAGAAAGGAAGGGATATGGTCCTGGGCAGGGGCGGGTCCAGGGCCTCTACCCCGACACGCTCAGCCATTGACGTCTCCCGCGTCTGCAGAGGCCCTGCTGCTCCTGGGGCCGGGTGGCTGGCACTGAAGCTGGCTGACCCTGGACCAGCCTCTGCTCTCTCCCGGGGCTCCCCCCGCATTGTACCTTCCTGTCCCGGCCGCCCGCCTGTCTGCCCTGGTGCTGCTGCTCTGTGTGTTCGAGGCATGACCTCCCATGTGGCTCTGAGGGCTGACGTGTGTGTCTCTGACCCGGGCTTGTGTGCGTGTGGGGTCCCGTCGAGGAGGGCCGTGGAGCCGGCTGTGGCCCCCGGACGGACTTGGGCCAGTCTGAGCTCTGCTGCCCCCATAGCACCAGCTCACCCGCCACCTGGGCACCTGCTCAGTCCTGACCGGGACGGCCGACTGCCCTCTGGAGGGAAGGTCTCACAGCTCCACTCTGACCAGCATCTTCGGGGTCCCTCTGGGGCTGTAGAGGGAACAAAGAGGGGCCAGGTGCGGCTGTACCAGCTCACACCTGCCCAGGCTGCAGGGGGTACCAGCGGCTGGTGGGGGCAGTTGCTGTGGGGCAGGGAGGGCTTCTGGGCAGCTCTGGAGGGGGGAGTGTTGCTGGACTACGGGGAGTTGGTGGCAGGTGACAGCCAGGCCGGGGGGCGGTGCGGTCACCGTCCTTTTGTTTTGGTGGCAATGGGGAGGCATTGAGTGTTTGGTCAGGAGAGTGGCAGGAGGCCTGTCTGGAGGACCAGGTAAGGCTGGGTGGGCAGAGGCAGGGCAGGTGAAGAGTCTGGGGATGTGGGCCACGCCCAGCCTAGGGCAGAGGAAGGACACGGGCAGGGGCATCTCCAGGGGGCGGCCATGGCTGTGGCCATGTAGGGGGTCAGCTGGGTGAGGGCTGGGCTGGGCTGGCAGGTGGCCGTCCTGCCTTGGATGCAGAGGAGAGGCCAGGACATGGCCCCGGGGGGAGTGCTCCACAGGTGAGGGTGGAGGCTATGGACGGAACGGCCGGGCCTGGGAGCCGAGGCTGAGCAGGCGGAGGCTCGGGGTCAGGTGTGTCAGGGGCCGGGTGGGGCTGAGGCCCCCAAGGAGGGCGTCTCCTCCTGAAGTGAGCTGGGACGCTGTGAGGGAACTGAGGCAAGGCGGAGTGGGCAAGGTGAGGTGGGTGGGAGTGGGGGGGGCGAAGAGGGGAATGTCCCACACAGATGCGGGGAGGTGCTTGCACGCCGCCTGGTGGGTTTTGGGGGCCTGGACCTGGTACTGCTGGTGGCTGTGGGTGGTGGCGCAGGCAGACGGTGGTGGATGTGACCAGGACTGGGAACAGGGCTCGGGGACCTGTGGAGGGTCCCCGAGGCGTCTGGGCCTGAGAGGCTGGACTCATCCTGCAGACTCCGAATGAGCCTCTGTGTCCAGCAAAACCCTTCTGCTTCCCCCCAAGTCTTCCAGGCAGAGAATGTGGCTGGGCAAAGGGGCTGGGGTGCGTCCTTCAGGGGTGTTCGGGGATCAGAAGAGGGGCAGGGATAGGGCCGTCCCCACCTGCGCGTTCTCCTCCACCTGCTCCTGGCCTCAGGGTCGGGGTGGCACGGGCGGCCAGCGCCCTCCTCCCTTCTGCGCCTGCTGGTCACCAGGGCCCCAGGCACAGCTGGAGCAGGAGGGTGGCGCCGGAGCCTGCCGAGGAGAGGTGGGCCTGAGCGCAGGTCCCAGGGGCGGCTGCCTGAAGCCCGGCCGCCCCACACGCCCCTGGGTGTCTGACCCCGCAGGCCCCGCCTGTGAGCCATGCAGGCAGAGGGAGGTGTCCCAGGACTCAGCGACGGGACGCTCACTCCCCTCTCCTCCTCTTGCTCCAGACTCATCCCCCCGCTAAACCAGCTGGAGCTGCTGAGGAACCTCAAGAGTAAATCTGGACTCACTTTCAGGTCAGCCGGGGAGCTCCAGTGGGACGGGTGGGCATCTCAGTCTTGAGGGGCCCCAGCTGCTCACGGAAGACGCGGCCCGGGGGACTCCAGGGAGTTGGGACGCAATGGACTTGGCGATGGTGGTGCTTTCTCTTTCCGAATCTGCCGACCTGGTCTGGGCTCCCGTCCCCAGAGGGGCAGGTGGTTTTTGGGGTGGGCAGAGGAGGGGTGGGAGGGTGAGGGGTGAAGGTTGACCTGGGGCTGGGGGCTCTGCGTGGCTCTTACTGGGACCCGGGTATGTGGGTCTCCCAGCCCCGCATCCTCCCGAGTGCCTGGTGGTGACAGCACCTGCTGCCTCTCCCTCAGGCCCACAGCCCACGGCTCTCGGACTGCCCGGCGCCGAGGTCGGTTGCAGAAGGGCCTGCTGAGCGGGAGACGTGGACAGTGCGCACACCCCCCAGGCGTGCCGGGGCCCAGGGCTGCCCGCACGCAGTTCCCGCCTGAAAGCCCTGGGCGGGGCAGGGGCTTCCAGTGGATTGGATGACGGTCTCTGTCTCCTGGAGACACACTCGTGCCCTGGAACCTGTCAGGACAATCTCAGATCATCCTGGATTTTCCGGGCGGGCCCCGAGTCCGATGATGAGTGTCCTTACAAGGACAGGGAGATTCGGAAACAGAGGAGACAGCACCAACTAGGAAGGGGAGAGCCCAGGGTGATTCGGCCGGAAGCCAAGGGCTGCCTGTAGCCATGAAGCACCCTCCCGGCACCGTCGGAGGGAGCAGGCCCTGCCCGCACCTCGATTTTGGACTCTGTCCTCTGGGACTGGGAAAGGACAAATGTCTGTTACACACACACAGTGGCACTTAGCTACAGGAGCTGCAGCAAATGACTCTGGACGTTCACACTCGGGAGCTGCGTGCTGCGGCACCGAACGCCTCCCGGCGCGGATGTGACTTCGGAACTGGGTGACGGCAGAGGCTTCTTTCTAGGATCACAGGTCCGTGTGTGGAGGACGTTCACCCAGGAAGATGCACACCTAGAATCACACACACCTGATTTAAGTGATTCGGATGATTTTATTATTTTATTTATTTATTGCTATTTTTTTAGACGGAGTCTCTCGCTCTGTCACCAGGCTGGAGTGCAGTGGCACAATCGTGGCTCACCGCAACGTCCACCTCCGGGGTTCAAGTGATTCTTCTGCCTCAGCCTCCTGAGTAGCTGGGATTACAGGCGCCCGCCACCACACCCGGCTAATTTTTGTATTTTTAGTAGAGACAGGGTTTCACTATGTTGGCCAGGCTGGTCTTGAACTCCTGACCTTGTGATCCGCCTGCCTTGGCTTCCCAAAGTGCTGGGATTACAGGTGTGAGCCACCACACCTGGCCTCTGATGACTTTAGATGATGAAATTTGTGATTTTTTGAACTGATGGGATGTGAATGAGATTTTGTACCTGAGTATTTTGAGGTGCAGAAGAAGCCGAGGTGTCCTGAAGAGTTGGTGGGTGGAGTTCCCGGTGCCTCTGGAGTGAGCACAGGAGGAAGTGAGAATCAGTTGTTGGAAGCCGGAGGGAAGGTTGTCCCCGTGTTGCTACCGGGCTGTGCGGCACTGCCAGGCGGAGGCAGAATTTTTAAGTGAGGAATGTGGATGTTCAGCCAAGATTTCCAAGCAAGTGTGGCAGGTGCAGCCTAATTTATTTCTGCTGCTCATAGTAAAATATGAGAGGAAAGAGGATTTCAGAATGGCACGTGGTCAGTCTTGTCAAAATAATATAAAAAAATGATGTAAGAAACCCGAACTTGAAGGTTTGGGAGGTGCTCGGCCTGCCCAGTTTACAAAGGGTTATAAATTAGGAGATTCGCTGTTGGCAAAGCCAGCTGTGGCAAGAAGCCCATGGGTGTGGCCAGACAGCCTGTGCTGAGGATGACACATGTGCGACCACGGCATCCATGCTACCATCTCAGCAGAGCCCCGGCATGGAGATGGAGGCCCGGCGTGGAGATGGATGGAGACCCTGTGTGGAGGTGGAGGCCCGGCGTGGAGATGGAGGCCGTGCGTGGAGAGGGAGGCCCGGCGTGGAGATGGATGGAGGCCCTGTGTGGAGGTGGAGGCCCGGCGTGGAGATGGAGGCCCGGCGTGGAGATGGAGGCCGTGCGTGGAGATGGAGGCCCGGCGTGGAGATGGATGGAGGCCCTGTGTGGAGGTGGAGGCCTGGCGTGGAGATGGAGGCCCGGCGTGGAGATGGAGGCCG